TACTTAAAACTAAGTGTTTGAAGTGTGCAAGTAGGCTATTCCTCTGCCTCATTAGTGATAATGGTACTGTACTGTAATCAATGTACCATAGAAGCTAAATCGTTAGCTGCTTTATTTATTTTGTAGCTCTTGTTATGATTTAGCGTTATTGAATTATTTCCAAAAGGGGCTTTCTAAATTGCTTAGAATGCAAATCACTCTCTCTGTGGCCGAGTTGGGTTGCAAACTTTGCATGTTTCAGCTTGACCTACATTTCATTTAAGAATGAAACCGATGTCTGCCATACAGACAGGACTCACACCACAGACAGTGGTGCTGCTTTTTTCCCCCCACATTCGAATATCTGCTTTGTTTTGTCATTTTTATTCAAATTTAGAATATTTGTTGCCAGCCCTAGTGACCAGTCAACCATCTAATATAAAATTGGTTGCCTGAAAAAGAGTGACACCAGCAACTGTCTGAAAAGTTCAGAGATTTTTAATGAGAAGTGCTCGGAGTGGTCGCACAAAGTTGAGGTTAAGGACTTTCTCTCTTCTCATTGGGAACAGTTGAGAAAAGATGTTTGGAGTTTAGAAAAAAACACTATGTGGACACAGACCATTAAATGTCAGTAAAGCCAATCTCATATAAAGCTGCATGTTGGCTTATTTTGTCTGTCAGTAGTGTTATTATAAAATGTTATCGACAGCTTTGGTACTGCTGGTCAACGTAGTATTTTGGAACCGTGAAATTTTACACTCACTATTTTCACACTGCTATTATCTGACAACAGAAACAGAAGAATATGTAAATGACACTATATCTATACTATACTACAGTATAGGTGATCACAAAGAGGGCGGGAAGGAACTGAATTGCTTCTCTCTCTCTCAATTCAATTCAATTTTGCCATATTGGAATGTGTAACAAAGACAAAATTGCCAAAGCAAGAAATTATAGAGTAAAAGGAAAGAAAAAAAAATCTCCCTTTCTCTCCATCACTAGCTACAAGCATTTTTAATCAGTTTAATGTTTCACTGGCTAGGATGGCAGTGGATCATCTCTGGCAGTGGCAGACGTGACTGCACAAGAACGAGGCACAGCCGGATGCTGTGTTCGCTGGCTGTAAAGGAAGGCATGTATGATTTATTCGTAGCATATTTACCAAATCATGTGATTGATCCATAGTTGACTTGCCATGTCCGGGATGACGGGCTCCATTCTTTGTTCCTGTTAAACGTAGAACCGTCAAATAGATAGCTGTCAAATCAGTTTTTTCATCCCATTATTGTGTTGTGCAGGAACTCTGGGGTAAATATTTTATTTTATTTTAGACAATATGTATATAGAAGTAATAGTTTTAAATAAAGTATGGTGATCTTGTAAAATGTTGGCGGAGTAATTAGTGTTGGATCCGAAGCATAACTTATGATCCATAACTTAAAATCCATGTATAATCAACCTACCTTTGCAATGTTCACAAACTGTCCTTCGATTTACGTAGAAAATAAGGACGACAATCACAGTCACACAGCAGGCCAACAGCAATCCAAGCACAAGGACAACTGGGTCTAATTCAAAAATCAAAAGGCTTTTTTAGGTTAGGCAAATGCCAAAATATTTCTGTTCCTTTTTGTGTGTTTATTTGAGTTTTTTTTAACAAAAAAATACTTTCTTTGTTAATAGTACAGTATTTCAACTGCTTTCTTTCCTACAACCTCTGATCCTCTGAGGAGGACCAATTTTAGAAGGCAAAATAAGAGCAATTTGATAAAAGTAATTTAACCTAACCCTAACCTTTTATATAACCTATACTTATGTAAATTACACTTTGTCAAACATGTTTTTGCATAAGAACTTAGACAATGGAATACATTTTAAATTAAGTTAAAACCTGTTTTAAATTATCTTAAACCTCAGAGAAATCAACAGACTAATAAATCTATTCTTTTCTGCTAGGTAAATGCATATAGAGGAAAATACATACTTTTAGTTTCCACTTTAGTTCCTTCACCAAACAGGATCTCTCCACATGAGACCACAGCACAGTAGTAAGTCCCAGTATCAGAGGAGTTTCTTATGGTTTTGGACAGACTGTAGACACAGCTCCTTTCCTCTTGTTCATCACTGCTGTTCCTGTGAGTGTAAATGACTTCTGGATGAGATTGTCCTGATCCAGCTCTGAACCAGTACACACTGTGTTCACCTGGACACTGGACTCTGGTTTCTTTGTTCTTGGGGAGAAGTGAACACTGGAGAGTCACTGAGTGTCCCGGCTGGACTGATGCTGTCTCTGGATGTTGCTTCACATTCACAGATTTCTGCTGATTACGATCTGTGTGATTCAGTGATTGGAGAAAAATATGTCCCAAACAATTTAAACCCGAAATTATTTGGTAGACATAAAGTAGTGATATACTGCCGATTAGGCCATAGACAAAAGAAGTAAAGGGATTTCTACCATTCACAGCCAAGAAGACGCATTAAAACACTTGATGTATAATGCCTGCTCCAAGTTTTACCAGAAGTAAATGTTGCTTCGTCCTCTTTGCTTTGATATTTGTAATGGTAAACCACATAATGACTACTTTTCCTCTTGTGATGGTTTGAAACGTGATTTGTTTTAAATTGTGCATCCAAGTTTTTCGTTTGTTATAAGATCCAGTAGCACTACCTTGGATAAAATTAATAACAAAAGAAGGCAGCTTATAAACAACTGAAAGAATTTTTGGCCCTGCTCAGAGACTGACCATTCGCAAAAGTAAATTTCCCCACCTACCTTCAACCAAAGTCCCACAGAGCTCGGCTGAGGAAACATCTTGCAGTTTGATCAAGTCTGAAAAAAAAAGGACACATAGAAACCGTAAATTTGCAAGACAAACAAGAAAAAAAACAATCAATAAAGTTTCCCTTACCCATCAGGAAGATTATATTCTTTTCTTTACTTTTTAACAACATTTATCACAAGTTCAATATAACAATCATATTGGTTTCAAGTTGCACTTACAACACTGAACAAGAAAGATCAAAAAGCCAGCCAGTCTTTCCCCAGACATTTGTGGTACACAAACCTTGTCCTTGATTATTATCACTCAATTGAAGTTTCAGTCACAAGACACAAGTCTACAAAGTGGGATGAATCTTCCTGATTGGCCTGAACACAGAACGCTTCTTACCTCCCTAAACTTTAGCAAATTCCCATGAATCCATTTTCAGTGACTTTGGTTATTGTTTGTTTTTGTACTTTTTAATAGTTTGATATTTTTCCCAAAGCAGTTTTTTGTTATATGACAGTTAATTGGTGGATTTTAAGTTTCCATGCAGCATAAAACTTGCCTGTGTCCTCCAAGTTCCCTCTGTGTGGTGAATCCATATTGTAAATCATAGGACGTAATGTTTTATAGTGGTTACTATTTAAGTCAGGTCGAACAGAATTATAATAAACTAACACTAGGAAAATGACCAAATATGTCAAATGATAAATAGTAGTTGGTTTTTTCAAAGTGCTTGATGGGTGCAAGAAGTCCAATGGCTTTGTATCCCATGCTAACAAACTAAAATCCATCGTCATCTACTAACCCACTTATTCCTTTTGCAGGGTCGTGGGGTGGGCTGGAGCCCAATCCTGCAAAAGTTTCATGTCCATTGGGACCATCGCAGGAAGCTGGGAATAAGGCAGTACTTTTCAGTTTAAAGAAATTACATATTTCCAGTTTCCCCCAACCAAAATTAGACTGGGTGGTGCTTCACGAAGCCACTAACACTGGGTTGCCTTGCCCTCAAGGTAAGACTTCTGTTAAAGGTTTTGGCCCTATCAGAAGTACAGTGGGCGGTGATACAAATCCACTCTATATGTTAATCTGAGGACTTCCCCCTTATGGTTAGCTTTGTATGATTCCTCTCCCCAAAAACCATGCAACTTTCCCCTACAGAGTTTTACATACATTTAAAAAACCTGGATACTAATTAAAACCAAACCAATCCCAGTTTTAGTTAATTTCTTTAATGATAAACAGGCAATGTCAAAATGATTAAGAAACCTTTATTGAGGAGGAAAGAACAGAGGGATGAATAGCTTAGAGACAGCCGGACTGAACCATGGTTTTTATGCAATTTCTGTTGCAATACCAGTTTGAAAAGAGACTGACACTGGGTGTGGACTGCTTTTTATCTTTCTTTGTCCCTAAAATAACCACTTTAGAAAGGGAAATTGCATTAATGTTTCTTCGGAACGTATTACATACATGAATGCAAGGTTTAAACTTAATTATGCAGCCTCATGTGTTACTGCCCCATATAAATATGAGTCCTCACCTGCTAAATTATTTAATGATGCAAAACACGCCTAACCTTTTTTTCGTTTAGCACAACAGGGGTCAAAATGGAACCCTGACCTGAGTTTTTATGTTCTTATATTGTGGTTTAGCTAAACTACTTGGCCTAGGTATATTACTAAGCACTTAGCCATCACTGTACTGTAATGTGTATGTATATTTGATATGCACTGAAAAATTATTGTTGCCGCTTCTGACTTTCTTTATGTATGGCTGATTGACCAGATTTTACTGTGAATGGTGTGCAGATTGCTGATGGAAGAACCAAATGAGGAGATGAAAAAGGCAATTTAATTTGACTTCTTGAGTCTTGAATTGCCAAGGAGCACAAACATGTTAGTGGTTTCCCGTTTGTTGAGGCCATGGTTAAAAATGGATAGCAATCTGGTTTGCTTTCTCATGAATGTGATCAGTTGTATTTTTAAATCCAGATTGAAACAAATATTGCTAAGTTTTAAATATATATAATTAATTGGCATTTTTGTAACAATTAAAGGACGAGTTATGTCGTATTCAGTTGCATCAGCGGTAGTGCATGTCATAGCCCATAGCCCCCCCCATTTCCACCTGTGGAATATTTCGTCCTTGTTGGCCTAAAGATAGTTTATCTGCTATGGCCTGCAGCCACAGTGGGTTGCCTGCCTATTGAGTGGACTTTCAGATTGTGTTAGTTTTCATGTTTTTCCCACTTTGTAAAACCAATGGACATGGATATGATGGATACATTTGTACTGGTTTTAAAAATCACACATTTGGTTTGACCGTCCCAGTTGGCCTAATGGCTTCCTAAAATTGTTTTATATGACTAATATTTTTAAAGAATGATAGTTATTAGTAATGTTAAATAATATATAGTGGTATATATGTAAAATTATATACATAATTAAGTAGTGTATAAATGAAAGAAGAGCTTTTTAACTTGTAAGTACAAAAAAAAATAAACTTGTTTTTTTTTTTCTTCTAGTCTCACAACCACCTTTTGTAAGGAATGGTTGCATTGAAAACACAAGCAAAGCACAATGACAACAGAATATTAACTGTTGGTGTTCAATTTCTCTGCCCTTTGACCCAACCCACTGACCTTGTTTTTATCTCAGAATTGAGAAACCTGACTATGGCTTCCAACAGGAATGAAGTGAGGTTTAGAGGTACAATGGAGGGAAGAGCTACCAAGAAGCATCCAAGAAAAATCATTTAGTTTAACCAGTTAATCCTGATAACGTGAAGATTAAGACTCTTTTTTCCAGGAGAAAACACACAATATAATACAGACGACAAATGGCAGTCAGCCATACACTTTACATACTCAATAGACATGGTTCAACCATTAAGGAAACAAATTGCATTCAAAATAAGTATAATGTTTTAAAAATCTTAAAATGGAATAAGAGAGAGATTTTAATATCAAAGTCAAATCAAAATGTTCAAATGAACCTCTTAAACACAAAAACAGATATTTTTATTGATTACTAACTGCGGTGTATAGGTTTGCTACATGCACTGTGCATCACAATGCAAAAATGAGTTGTCACCAACAGTCTCCTCTGCCAAATCGGCAGACACCGACACCTCCTGATGTTGTCGTTGGAGAAGGAGACCCTGGACGACAGTCTGAGCCTTGCCATGCACAAAGATCCAGAATTGACAAGGATTACAAAAACAATCCCACAGAATGCACGCTATACCAGCCCACAGATACAAAACGAGATTATCGAAATGATGAGCAAACTCGTGACAGAGGAGATAGTGAGACAAGTCGGCGATAGCTGGTATTCAATTAAAGTGGATGGCACACGTGATCCTTTAGGCCAAGAAAATATATCTGTAGTTGTGCGTTTTGTTGACGAAAACTATGGTGTGTGTGAGCGCCTTTTGGTAATGGCCACATCTGAGAAAGGTGATGCTGTACAACTTCATCAGGAAGCCAACCGTGGCTATTCTGTACAAAGGCGAGACCCTGAAACGTCTCTTGGACCAGAGATGGACTGGCCACTTGGCAACGGTCAAAGTTGTGGTGAAGAGTTTTCACGACATATCCACATTACTGACCGAGGTGGAAAACACACGAGGCCTTGGAGCAGAGGTGTGCGTCGAGGCTACGAAAACGAGTTTTCTGCACTATGGGATCTCTGCGCTCCTCTAGCCACGGCCACTGAGGCTGTGCCGGTGACCGACCCCGGTCCAAGCAAGAGAAGACGCACAATTAACAAGAACCTCCGCGGATTTGCAGTTGAAGAAACAGTTGGTCAGCCACAAAGTGACATAGACGAAAAGACTGAGTTCAAGAGATTGTTTTACAGTGTTATGGTATTAGCTGAAACTGATGTGGTTGAATCTGAATATACTGTGGCTCGTGAGTTCCTGGTGAAGAAAATGACTGACACCCCGGTTCCCCCCGAAGATGGAAAAAAATAGCCAACATCCTCAGCACATTCAACTGTGCACTCCAGGCTATGCCAACTGTTCTCACAGCCTACACCCTTGCCCTAACTTTAGGAGCTTCCACAGCAATGTGTGAAAACTCATTTTCCACGCTCAAAAGCATCTTCTCAGAGCATCGGCGCAGTATGCTGCAAGGCCCAGCTGATTCAGCTTGCTTTTGAAAAGGACCTCACTCACAAGTTTAAGTCCGAGTGGAAGGATACTTTGATGAGGAGGTTCTGCTCGGAGAAACGCCGCCTCCCGCTGTACTGACAGGAGGGACTGGAGGAAGAAGGACAGCGCTGCCATCCACTCAAAGATAACCGGTAAGTTCAAAGTCTCTGTGCGTGTGTATGTGTGTGCGTCAGTGTGTGTGTGTGTCTAACGGCAATGCATATCCCTCTGTTGACTGCTTTAAAATGCAATGTTTGAGAGATGCTTCTGGTGTTACATCTAATATGTTGTATAGTCAATATGTTATAGTATATAAGTGTTTTATGGATATTCATAACATTGCTTTTATGTAATGTATTGCTTTAGATTATGAGGACTGATGTTGTAGGCTATACGTGGTCATATTGCTGTTGGTTATGTTTAACGTGATGATTATGTGCTGCGCGAATAGAGTATAGGATTATTAAAAATATACGTAGGCTAATAATAATTGTGCCCTCCCAGGCATTTCATATGCCCCCCTTAAGATTGAGGTCTGGTCTGTATGTAGGCAGTAGGTTAGATATGTATAGTATAAACCTACTGAAAGTGCCATTTTGTTTACATGCTGCATACTACATACTTATAGTTTGGTCAGAAATACTGTACTGATAATGTTACAGCTTTAAGTCAACAATGTTACCAATGCAATAGTGGTGGGCGGATCGATCCCAAATATCGATATATCGATCCAACGTTGGTATTGATATTGATCGATACCAGTGTAATGGGATCGATACTTTAGTTTCTGTCTGTCAGTCTCTGTGTAAGTGCCGCTGCTTTTGAGTGCCGCTCCTGTCACAGCGCGGAGCGGGAAAGGAGCGCCGACTGCTATCGGATCGGATCGATACCAAATCTTGCGGTATCGCCCACCACTACTTTCTAGAGGGGCTGCAGGAGCCTCGGGGCAGTTAGCAGTGACATCAATGTGTCCCTGATGTTAGAAATCAGCTTTACTTGCTTTTGTAATGTCAGCTAGTTGAAGACATATACAGCGACTTAATGACGCGGCTCTACAGGGTTCACAAGTTGACCCGACTTTGATCTGCCACGAGCACCAGACCCGAACTAGCACCAGACCCGAACCAGCACCAGGCTGGAAACTGAAGCCGGTCGTACCTGATGCTGCTCGGCAGGTCGTCCAGTCCAACTGCAGCGTCCTCTCCGTCCACGGCGGACACGATGGCTCTGACCAGCCGGCTGTCGGCCCACAGACAGGCACTGACCTCAGCGGGGGACGGGCTCAGAGAGGCCTGCGGGGGGGAGACAGCTGAAGACTGGAGCAGTTACACATATTCTGTGTGAGGACTTGCGTACCTGTAGCTGCAGGTGAGAGCGGGAGGAGTGCAGCAGCATGTAGACCACTATGTGATGTCTCTTAGGAAGTCCTCTGGACAGCATGGGGGGGTACACGGACTGACGGACAGAGGGACAGACGGACGGTGGATTACAGTCAGTACACCTTTAATACAAACCTACTTCAGTCTCGACCCGCCCACCTCGGCCTCTGATTGGCTGGTACTGGTTGTCTTCAGGGTTAGAATGTCGGGGTTAGCCAATCAGAGAGGCAGAGTAGGCGGGTTATGACTTCACCATCCTGGGAAGTTACATGATCACTAACAGGTCTGTCTGTCCTGTGAGTCCTGTCCTGGTCTGTCTGTCTGTTCTGCTGTAGTCTGTTGTCTGTCCTGTCTGTCTGTCGGTCCTGTGAGTCTGGCTGATCTGTCTGTGTGTAGTCTGGTCTGTCCTGTCGTCCTGTCTTCTCTCTGTTCTGTCTTCTGTCTGTCCCTGTCTGTTCTGTGGTGGTGTCTGTCTGTCTGTCTGTGAGTCTGTCTGTCTGTCTGTCTCACCTCCCAGAGTCCCAGTATCTTTGGAGAAACTTCCTCTGGTTCCAGTTTTAGTCCAGTTTCCTCCATTAACTCCCTGAGGCCTGAATCCATCAGCTACACACAGACACACACACACACACACACACACACACACACACAAACTGTTTCTGGCACTTCAAATCAC